ATCGCTGTCTGCAAAAGCGATGCATAATGAATTCGTTTTATTGTTATAATATTTTACAACTATTTCGACTCTATCATTTTCACTATGACACAGAAGCACGTTATTCAATGGAAATAACAACCACTGTTATCAATGCGTCATTCTCTGAACATAACCAATTTTATTTTTTTATTATGACTATTATTATTTATTTGTTTTGTCAAACAAAAAAATATCAATTTTCAAGTTAGTTATGTGTACTTTTTATCAACACCTTTAGATTTTATGAATACTTTTCTCAGAGTTGGCAGAAAATAGTCTATCTCGATAAGATTAACTATATTTTATTATAAATAACCATTTTTATTATTATTATTTGTATTTTTATTATTATTATAAATTATAAAACTTTCAAGCAGGACACAAATTCAATTTAGATATTGAGACACTTTTTTGAAAATAAATACAGAAATCGAATATTTTAAAACTTTAGCTACTACCATAATCAATCTCAGTTGATTTTACACATTGACACTTTGACATAGAAATTGATTAGTGGATTGAATGTGTGATTTTTAAACATTCACTGCATTTTGTGGACTTCTTTAATATATTTTAAAGTCCAAATTTGTTGTTAAAAGTTAATTGTTTCTAAATGCTACATTTAATTTTTTATTATTGAATTGTGTTGTATTAATTAAATAATTAATCAAATGATTAGTTTGATAACTTTCATATTTGCTTTTTTTATACTTACTAAATCATCATTATCAATTTTGAAAACAAACATCAAGTGGTCGCAATTGGCCGTTTATGTATCCGAAAAATCAATTTTATTAACGGGAATATAAAAAAAATTCAATTATTGTTTGGTTTTTCAAATATTTTAATTATTTTTTTGTTTTTAATTAATGTTTTTAAAATAATATAAAATGTTTTTTGAATTTATAACAATAAATATTATATTTTACTATAATTTGCTAAAGCCGACTTTTCCCACCTACTCTTTATTATTTTGGTTGTAATTTTTGTTATGTTTTGCTTTCATATTTTTATTTAAAAAATAAATGCACAAAACGATTTTTTGGTATAAAAAATAATCCAATTTTGAAATTAATATATTATTTGTTTTTATTTATTTTTTCGGGAAAATCACCTAATAATATTTCAAAATTATTTAAACAGTTTTGGGACAATTTTTTAAAAAACTGTTAAAAAAAGCAGTATTGGGTTGTTGGCGAGTTAATATAAAATTAAGTATAGTACTGTTTAATATGAATTATGAATACGCTTTTTGAGATTTTTTCTGTCTAATTAGTAATTTGTATTAGAGTTTTTGTTACAATTATATTAATTTAAAATATTAAAATAATACAAATAGTTCAAAAGATTCAATCAATTATTATCGACACTGTGCTATTCAAAAAATAAAAAACGACATAAACTTTCATTTTAAAAAATCGAATTGTAATTAAAAAAATTAAATCGACGAATTTAAAACTCTAAAGTCAAATGAAATCAATAATTTTTCTTTCTCTTCTTTATTTTTCATGTGTATGTGTATCAAAGAAGTACATCTCTTTTGCCGATGCTGATGGCACACAGACAGTACTTCGCGTCGACTCATGTTATTATTACAACACGAGGTACTACAAATTTGGTGAAAAAGATGATCAGGTCCAGCAATTTTATTCGACAAAAAATGATTGTGGCAATTGGGAAGAAACCAATGAATTCGACGCAAGTGTTTTAACAATCATTGATAAACTTCCTGATTTCTCTGCTGCTGAGTACTCATACAGTGATGCATACAACTGTGAACTTATGCAAGACGATGCAAAACCAATGGAACGGATATACCCAATCGGATGTTTTAAGTACACCAACGACACCTCTATGAAACTTGAAGTAAATGAAAAATCAATAACTTTTAATGAATACAGCAAGTTAAACTGTGAAGGCGATATCAAGAAATCAGACGTTAAAGAAAACAAAAAGTGTTTAGAACTTGTAAAAGGAAGGTTTTATATATACTCAGATGGCACAAAAAGTCAAATCATTATTCTGATGGCCGTTGTTATGCTTTTATTCTTCATATAAATGAGAGCTATCGGATATTTAGTTATAGTTCAAAATATATATATTATTATAGTTTAAGTTTATTAAAAAACATAAAATAAAGTCAGTCTGGAAACCTTATTTATTCCAAAAACCTTATTTTTCGACAAAAATAGGTTATTTTTTTGTTATTTGGTTTTGTTTTTCAAAATTATTTTTTTTTCACTTGAAATCTTTGTTTTTTCAATTCAAACGAACTTAGACAAATTGACAAATTTGATTTTTTACGCTCAAACATCGCGTATAACACCAGAGAGTGGTGCCGTTGTTGTAAGCAGCGGTTGGGTGGATTTTTGTGTGTGAGATGACAAATGCAACACGAGAATTTGACAACAAACAACTTGGATTTAATTAAATAATTAATAAAAAACAACGAGACAATCATAATCAAAAGAACACCACGCTTGGCAGACTCGAACATTGAATTGTTGTACTGCAGTCGGGTAAAAGTTGTTTATAATAAATTGTCTTGGCTGCGTGGGTGTCTATTTGCTCTTTGTAAGAGTAGAGTCAGTCTTTTAACGTTATCTGGTGGACAAAAAATACCTTCATTTTTGTCTAAACATCGGGCATTAGGTAAAGCGTGAAAAAACCCGAAACAATTGGGATGCATTTTTGGGACTGCTCCCCGAATTATTCCATTTTTTATGGTCCAAAAGGCACCAGATATCGTTTGAGACAGACTGTACATTTAATAAGTCGACTCACGCCTTATAGCAAAATTCTTCAAAAATGATCCAAAAAACTTAGTTTGTTTTGTGTATTTTCCCGTTAATTTGGGGTAATAACACCATTATTATCACCATTTATTGACAAACAGAAAAAATGAAATGATTGGCTAAATGATTTTAACCCCATTTATGTTTTTGGTTGTGTTATTGGAAAATAGTTTAAATAATAGTAATATTTATTAAACATCCCAAATTTGCATTTTTTTCAAAGGGAAAAAAATAATTAAGGTTTTTGGAATAAATAAGGTTTCCAGACTGACTTTATATTAAATTATTAAATTATTAAATTATTAAATTATTATATTATTAAATTATTATATTATTATATCTTATATTATATTACTATATTTAACTATATTTAACTATTATATTAATTTTTATTATATATTACTATATATAACTATATATTAGTTATTTTTCTAATATAAAAAATATGTTTTAATTGAATTATTTTAGTTAATATTAAAGTATTATATTAATCATATTACATTGCATATGGAGTTGTTGAATGTTTGTTTGTGCAAGTCGATATCACGCTGGTACTGCACTTGTTGCTGGATCATCCCATTTATTAAATCAACATTTTGACAAAATTCATCCACAACAAATTGAAATAACTCATTAACACCATCACCAGTAGCAGCAGAACACGTTTTGAGTGTGATATTATATTTGTTGCACAAAACTTGTGTCATTTCATGTGTAATAAATTTATTAGTCAAGTCATTTTTATTCGAAACAATTACACAAACAATATCATCGTTTGTGTTTTCTCGCATGCATTCAATTCGTTCACTCACACTTTCAAATGAAACAGTATCACTTGGGTCAAATACAACTATTTGTAAGAATAACATAAATAGCCACACAGATTTATTTATGTCGAATAAATATATATATTATTTATATAATTGTTATAAAACAAACTGATATAGATATGTATACCTCTGTATAAAATTTTGTTGAAACTGATTCTATCTTGTTGGACTTATCGTAAGTGTTTTATTTTTAATAACAAAGAAATAATAGAATGAAAATATTAACAACCAAACTCTAATAACATAAATTAAACTGTTTATCTATTACAAATATATAATAACAATAGTAGTTTATTTATTATTTTATTAACAATTGATATTTTTAATAGTTTTAAATTAATAATTCAATAGTATTATGCAATTACTATAAATATGGTTAATTTTAATAAAATTAATAGTAAAATGTGATGCCATTAAAAAACGATAGTTAATAAACCGATTAACCATCGTTTTATCAAAGTTAATCGGAATAAGTAAAGTTTATAAATAGTATACATATAATAATAGTAAATGTTTAATTTGATTAACTAAACAAATTTTCGAATTTGTAAATACACAGACAGACAACTCGAAAAAAATTATTTTTAACAAAATATTTCCCATCACCGAGTGACGGGTAAACATCGAGTACAGAACAAAACAAACTGACATCCCACAATTCTAATCGAACTTTTATCCCATTCTTATTATATGTTTTAGTTAAAAAGCCACACCCAATTGTTATTGGGTCATTTGGTCCACGAATTTTGTTATAAACAAGCCTTTCAATGAGTGCCGTTTTTCCGACACCAGTGTTGCCAACTATAACAGTTTTAAGTGTGATTATAGCCTGTTCCATTTTTCAAGTATTTACAAGTTACAATTAATAATGAGTTCTATTATGAATTATAAAATAATTTTCATACCAAGTTTTAATGTTTTTTACAATGAATTTTATAATGAATTAATTATGAATTATATTGTGAGTTTTACAATAAATATTATAATAAATTATAAAATGAATTATATTATGAATTATATAATGAGTTTTATTTTTTTTCATCACATATTTGACTCTTCCCATCAATTTCTCTCATTAAAAAAAGTGTATTAAAACCCCAAAAATAAAGAATTATTACATTACTTAATAATAAAAATCAAATTATTTCTTCGCTGCAACAACTTCCTTACCTCCACTAATTCCATCTGAATTTTCCTCTTTCTTCCTTTCTGTTACAAGTGTATTAACATTCAGTGTATATCTCTTCGCTGTTTTAAAAAAGTTCATATTAAAGAGTGGGACTACGACTCCATTAATTAAAGTAACAGGGACATAATATACATCTTGAATAAAATTCCCTTGTGGAGTTGTTTTGACTGCTGTATTTGGTATATCGACACTCACCACCTTCTCCTCTCCCCTCTCGTCTTTTTCGCTCTCTTTTAACACTTCATTAAGTCTCTCCCCCACCCCACTGTCTATCACAACACACTCATTCGACTTCTCTTCTACTTCTGTAGTGGAATCGTCGCTTATTACCTCCACCATTTGCGGTGTTTTTAAGAGCCGCATTTCTCTCTCATACTCTTCAAAAGGAACTTTCTTAATTGTCACATATTTCCCGTCATACTTCGACGGGACGTTTCCTAAAAAAATAACCGTCTCTCGAGGACGGGCATATTTCGTCACGTTCATCGCACTGAATGTGCGAGCAAAGTAATGGAGGCCATTCTTCCCGTCTTCTTCCTCGACAACGGATCTCTTCTTCATTTCATATCGCGACGCTTTAATATTATACGAGGGGATCTCACAGAGCTTAATCGACGAGAGTTTGGACGGATTCGCCGTTTTAGTGCGCTGCTCTTTGAAATCTTGAAATGGAAAGAACTTTTTAAGTTTGTGGTTTATAAAGTTCATCACGTTCAACACTTTGGATTCAGTGGTACTCTCCTCTTTCCGCCGCTTGTCACCATCTGAAAAATCGCGGATCTCATTAGTCGCCTTAATTGGGAGATCATTCGCGTCAAAAACGATGTTCGAATTGACAACTAAATATTTCTGAGTGGAATCAAAGATCAGATTGCCAATCTCATCGAAGATATAAGAGATCTCAAAAAGAGGTGCAAGCTTCGTGTTCGTACGCTTCTTATTAAGAATTATAAATGAGTAATGATGATTTAAAGCTAAATAAGTTAGGCACGCGTGGATATAGAAATACTTTGAATCTGTTGAGTTTCTTTTGAGTTTTGCGTTTTTTTGTTTGGTCAGGACATCCCGACTCGAAAATATGGGTTCATACGGCTCACTCATTCCAGTTTGATTAATCGAGATTGATGTTTTGATTTGTCTTTTTTACACCCTCGTTGCATCTTTAATACTTTTTGGTTTTTATTGTTAAAAGTATTTAATTAAAAAATATTAGTTTGGGAATGATTTATTTCTTTTAAAATGATTTTTGTATTTGTGATGACCTAACTCATCTTTGTTTGACCAATAATAATTTTTACTTTTATTTATTTTAATATTTTTTACCATCATTATTTTTAAAGTAGTAAAATAGTAAATATTTATAGTATATAATATCATATATTTAGAATGAGTTATGAAAAAATGAAATGTCGTGATTTTAATCACAATTTTAATTTAATTTTTAATTTTAAAATTATAAATAAATTATATGATATTAGTTTATATATTTAATTTTATAATTTATTAAATAACCTTGATTTTAACTGTTTGTTTTTATTAAACCAGTTTAAGTCATTAATAATTATAAGAGAATAAAAACAAATGATTTTAGATACAAAGTTCATAGTAAAATATTAATTACAAATTTAAATTTGGTTAAACGATACAACAACCAAAACCATATTTAATAATATTATTTATTATTTAATAAAGTTCATTTCAATTGTTATACTTTGATTCTAAATAAAAACTAAATTTAATAAACATCATTAGAGTATTATTTGGAAATAATCAAATTTTATTTTAATCTCGACTATAATATTTATTTAAACATTAAACAGATTTATGAACTATTATTATTTTTTTACCAATAAAACAATACATAAGACAAAGTTTATAATTATTAAAGTCATTAGAAAAACATCATTATTTTAATTAAATCCAAGTTATTTCTCAACTTTGTCTATTTTTAATATTTAAAACTATTTAATAATTTGATGTTAAAATAAAAAAAATATTTTTCCTATTCGAGTATTTTTGAACAAAAATAAATAAAAAGGTTAATGAGAAGTGATTATCAAAACAAATACTAAAGATTTAATTAACATTTTCAACAACCCACTTTTGTTCATTCAAATTTTTGTTTTAGTGTCGCTTATTTGTAATAATGTATTATAAGTGTTTTTTTCGCTTCTAGCATTAACTTACCATTTCATTATAATTTACTGGACAGATGTAACTAAAGTGTCTTCTGTAATATAAAGTTTTTATTGCACTTATCTCATTTTCTTTTCTTATTGCATATCTTTCAATTTGTCATTGCATTTATTGCATTTGTGTTGTTCACATTGAAGAATCCATCCCAATATTTAACACACTTCATTGTTTCTTTGTCTAAAATTTTTGGTGCAACACACTCAAGACAATCAGTCGGATTTGTGAACACTTTGCATTTCTTGCACATTTTCTCAGCATCAACTTTGTAATACATTCCTGGACAATAGTCTTTCACATACTTTTGGTATTTTCAATAATCAAAGCATCATCTTTGCAAACAACTCACTTGGTTTCTTCGTTGCTTATGTCTTGCAATTTTCAACACAAACAACGCACAACTTTTTTTTTGCAAAATACGTTTCTAAACAATCTTTTTGTGAGTTTTATCTGGTTGGAAATTATCAGTTGTTCACACGATAAACTCAGTAAATGATCAGAAGTTTCACGAACAGCAATTGTATTACATGTTGAACATGTTCCTTCAATAGCCAAATAGAATCCATCAATATTAAAAAACACTTTGAGTACGTCTCATATATCTAACAATTGCTTCAGCTTTGCATTCTTATATGTTGCAGTTTACTCTTTGTGTTAGCCAAAAAGACGTTCATTGACTGTTACATTTTTTTCAGTGTCTTTAAGCATAGTTTGTATACTAAAAGTACATTTACTCCTATCACTGTTAATAATGCATTCTGCAAAAGTTTTCTTAAATTTGTGTGAAGTTATGGTTGAATTGTCGTTAAAATAACCATCATCGCACTTGTCAGAACATTAAAAAGGACTTCATTCAGATAATAATTTCTTGAAATTGTTGATAGTTTGTTTAGATATTGAAATATTTTTTTTCTAAAATGTTTGGTTTTAGTTCAACAAAAATTTTAAAATAAAGAACAAATTATTTTAAAATACAAACTAAATTTTTAAATAATTGATTAGTTGTACAACAAACATCAAATTATACTTAACTATTATGACAAATAGACTTGTTTAATGGATTCATTCATATTTATTATAATAGAAACTATTTGGTTTTCAAAACAAAAAAAACATCTAAAATATTTAATAATTTATATGTTTTTAATTACTTTTGAATAACTTAAAAACAATGTTTTCTCTTAAATTATTCCACATTAATAAAATAAAGTCTCTACAACGTTTCTAACAAAACAGTGTTAATTAGACACATACCACATGATGGTCGTCTTAAAATACTCAATTGCATTTTTAGACTTAACTGATCTATATATGGTCTCTCATAAATATTACGACTTTATAATACTTTTTCACTTTTATCCAAATTCAGTCACAGATAATACTATTAAATAAGTCTCCATAATAGAAACACTCAATCTTTCGAGTGATGAAGTTGACCTATTAGTAAAAGAATTACATCCACGAGTACCCATACAATTTTTGTTAATGGTACGATTATGATAACAGTTTCATTAAAAAATCTTTAGATACACAGTTATATGAATTTAAACACGGCTTCATTCACAAAATAGGCACAAACACAACATTAAAAATGAAATTTCTTAAGATCATGGTTTAAAGTTATTAATAGAACAGTTTAAGATAATGAAAAAAATGAAGAAACATATTTTTGTTTGGAAATGTAATTTATACTAAAAAATAAAAACACTATATTGTAAACATACCAGTCGACAACAAGACACTGAAAATGTCTCTTATATTTTCATATAAATAAAACAGAGCTGTTTAAGAAAATTTTATTTTAATTTATTTTAAATTCCAAATGATGTTTTAAATTAAACTTGTGTTCATTTAAATATATTTACGCTCAAAATTATTCAGTTTCCAAAGTGAATTGTGTTATTTGAGTTTTATGCATTTGCCAGATGCAATGGTTTGAAATCAGTAGAAATACCAGAGAGCATCTCGTTTATTGGGGAATACAGTTTTACAAGTTGCCAAAACTGTCACATATACAAATTGGGAAAGGATTGAAAACACTCGAAAATAGTACTTTTAAGTATTTACTTGTATTTGAACAAATTTTTATTCCAGAAAATGTCGATGTCATTAAAAGAAACTGTTTTGATGAGTGCAAGGCAGATAAAAAGTAATAGCAGAAAACAAGAAATGCTGTATCGATGAATGTTAATTCACAAGGTCCGCCATTTTGAAGAGATAAAACTAATTATCGATATTGAAGCGTTGTTTCGTTAAATCTATTGATATTACAATTAATAGTATCAAATTTATTATTAAATTATAATAATATTGTAGTATTTGAAATTGTAAAATTAATAATTTATAATAATAGTAAATAAACTTAAATAATATTTTGTTATTAACAAAATAATAAATTATAATAAAATGTTATATTGAATAAAAATTAAAAATAAATAAACAAAATTCAAAGATGTTATTTACATATGATTTAGTACTTTGATTGGGCAATTAATTTTCCACTTCAGCAACATTTTGAGTGTTGTTAAACGCATCAGTTGAATATTCACCAACATCGTTTGGACTGAGTTGATTCATATTGAAATAACACGGTTGAATGGTGTTGAAATAATTCATGTCAAACAGAGGAATTGCATAAGGCGTGTTGTTCACATATGAAATAGCGACTGGGACATAGTATACTGGCAGTGTTGCAATTCCATTTGTGATGGTAGTGGAAGTGCTTTGTAGTGAAGGAGAAGAGTTTATTTGGCTTGTAATTTCTTGTTTAATTTCGACGCTAATATTTTCATCTATTTCTTCTTCTTTTTCTTTGACTTTGTCTTCATCTTCATCATCGCAGACCATTGACTTATCTTCATTGTTTACCACATTGTCTACAGTTGACTCAGTTATTGTTGTCGTTACACCTTTGTTCATTTTGTAGCTAATGATTTCCTTTTCATAGTCTTCAAGTGTCACACGTTTAATGTTAGAGTATTGCTTGTTGTATTTCAGAGGGATGTCACCAAGAAATATTGCCGTGTCGCTTTTCCGAGTTTTGCTTTTGAATTTCATTGCATTAAAACTTTTTGAAAAGAAGTGAAGACCACATTCTCCGTCATCTGCTTCAGTTTCACATCTCATTTTCAATTCAAAATCAGACTTCTCAATGTTATACGATGGTATAAGTAACAGTCTAACACTTGACAGCTTATTTGGATCCTTTGCTGTTCGTGTTCGTCTTTCACTCTGATTTTTTGATGGGAAAAATGTCTTAATTTTGTAATTCATGAAGTTCATTAAATACAACAATTTGTCGGTGTTGTTCATCTTCTCAATTCTTTTGCTTTCTGATATAGTGACACACTCTGATGTATTAATTAATGAACTTTTCTTTATTGGAAATCCCTTCGAGTCAAAAACAATGTTTGAGTTTTCAACATAATATCTTTCGTTGGAGTCGTAAACTATTTTGCCATGCTCATCGAAAATGTTTGCAATTTCAAAGTGTGCAGCAATCTTTTGGTTTGTTCTCTTTTTGTTGAGGATAATAAATGAATACTTCTTTTTCATTGCCAAATAACTAAGACAAGAGTAAATGTAAAAGTATTGGGAATCTGTAGACTCCCGTTTCAGTTTTGCGTTCTTTTCTTTGTTGTCTTGGTGGCACGTGCTTGATGTGCTTGAATGACTCATTGTTTGGATTGTTGAGATATTGATACTATATATAGTGAATATATTTTAATTATTAAAAATAAACAATGTTTATTTAAAACACTCCAATTGGGCGTTTTAGTTTAGGTTCAATCGTGTTTGACCATATCATCAACTTAAACTATATTTTATAAATAATTTATTTATTAAATATTATATTAAAAATAAAAACTTCAATGATCAATTAAGGTTCATTTCTTGTATGTTAAACATAAAACCCGAATTTTAAACTAATTTTGTTGCAAAATTTATTTTTTATCAGTGTTTATTATTAAAAACAATAGGTTCATACTATTTATAGAATAGTTCATTGCGAGCTCAATCAACTTTGGACTAGTTTCTTCAATAGATCTGGTTATTTATAATTGTAGAATTTGTTATTTTATAAATACAATAACAAATATTTTGTTATTTTCTGATTGGCAAAACTTTAATTTATAGTTTGTAGTTTTTCCTCATTGTAAAAATAAGTAGTATTGATAAACAATTTATATTGGTTAGTTTAATGTCTTTTAAATAAAAAAGTCGCTCATTTATCATTCTTACTTTATACACTGTTTATTTCGCAAAAACACAAAAGAACTACATTACAGTTAAAACTATATAAAACACAATAAATAATAAAACATAAACACTGATTTTATGCCGTTCCAGAAAATTTGCTTTGAAATATAAATTAAAGAAACAAAGTTTAAAAACGACATAAATATATTAACAACATAAACACACAAAATAATTGATTTAAATCATTTACAAATTGTTTAGTAAATTGTTAAATAAAATGAGTTGAAAAAATATCAAACATAAATGTAATAAAAGGAAACTCTAAACATGTTTTAATTTGGTTTTATGTGTAAAACATTTTTAAGTTTAACTGATAGAATAAATGTCAAGATTATTTAAAGTAAAGTCTTCATTTTTATAATAAGAAGACAAACACAAAAGTATCACTTGAATATATTATACTCATCATGACATCAAAACACAATAAGAATATCAATACCAAAATAATAAAACATTGGTTATATTTTATTGTTTTCAATGTTTTTTCTAACTCCGTATTTCATTTTTTGTCCATAGAAAAAAACCACATATTTTTTATTGAAAATAATAATATTAATGAAACTGAATTTTCGAAGTAACTCGATAAGAATGACACCATATTGATTCATTAAAATTTTTATTGTTGTGCTTTTATGTCGACAATGATGTGTCTGTGTTGAAAAGTATTTATTTAAGGTAAAATTAAATAACATTATTGGGTTTTTAAAAAAGGTTGGCTAATATTTTGATTAATTTATTCTAAAATAATAAAACAGGTATGTTTTTTTTAAATAAATCTGTTCTTTTACATTTTTGATTATTTTTTTTAAATAAAAACAGGACTTTAGAAAGTTCTTAAATATAACAATATAGACTTTTGTACAACAATTTACAAACAATACCTTTCATTTAAGAACAATATAATATCAACATGTCATATTAAGTTATAAGAAGCATTTGTGGTTTAAAAGCAGAATTCCATTCTTCCAAGGTGGAGATCCGGGTTCGAGTCCCGGCAAATGTATTTTAATTTTTTTACATCATAACACCTCCAATTCATTTTCATTTCACTTTTAAAATCTCACCATAAATTATAAAGACATCAAAGGATTTGAACCTAAGTTTCAAATGAAAAATAAATTCGAGATATATGTCTTGGACCACTTAGCCACGTTGTCTTCCTGTTTTTAGATTAAAAATAATTATATTTATTATAATATTATGTTAAATAAATATTATAATCTTATTTAATTTATAAAAAAAATATTAAATGGTATTGTAAACTGTAGTTCAAACGTCTGTACCGCCGTATTTATAGAATTTCCTAAAGTCCCGTTTTTTATTTTTGTTTTTTCAAAAAAAAACAAAAAATCGAAAGTACTGACTTAATTTTGAAAAAAAAATACCAATCCTGTTCAATTATTTTCGTACGATATCGGGACTTTATTGGAATATTAGCCAGCCTTTTCCAAAAACCCGATCCCGTTATTTGATTGGACAAAAATTGGATATTCTACTAGACAACACACACACTATAGTTGTGCTAATTACACAACAACAAACATCTCAGTGAATTAAATCCGAATCATTAATGTCAAAATACTAAAAATCAATTTCGTTAAATTTTTATTTCAAACAAAAAACAAACTCGTGGTTTCTCTTTCAATACAAATAATAATTAAATTTTGAGTTTTAAAAACCAAAAAGTAATAAATTAAAGCAAATGTCCTATAAATTTTACTTGATTCTCAATGTATAATTTGAATCGTTTTGGAATTGAATCAATTGTTTGTTTTACTACATTTCAAATGTGTTCTTTGGACACTTTTTCTGGTCGACCCAATTTTTGGTTTTGCCTCTCCCCTCTTTTTAATTCAGATACTGTTGTTTTTGAAATTCCAACTATTTTTGCGACGGCACTGTAAGAATAATTTTCTTCGAGAAACGCTTTTGCCCTTGTTAATTTTTTTCTTTGTCTGATAAATAAAAGTTTGACTCTGAAGGTTTTGACGGGACCTACATTGACCACCACCACCTCTAAAAATAGAGAATATTAACTATATATTATAGTTTTTAAATAAGAATAAACCAAATAATGGAATAAAAGGAAAATTATTAAAAATTAGGGATGTTTCCCGAAAAATAAAAATGCCCAAAAACTTTTAACAAACAAGAAATGTTTTTTTTTTGTATATACGTCAAAGAATTTACTAGTATGTTAATAATAAAAACAACTAAAGGAAACATATATAATTAAACCAAATAATTTGGTTTGTTAAAACATTGTTATATAATACAGTTTTATTGCTATGAAATAAAAAAATGTTGGGTTTAAATTAAAAAATATTATAGATTTGATTATCTCATTTTTTTGAAAAAAAATCGATAAAATCAATTTTCAAATAACGAATAAAGTTGAAAATTGACAAAGTCAAATTTGTTTTATGTGTAATAAAATTAAAACAAATTATGACTATGTTGTTGTTTGAAAATATGAATATATCACAAAAAGGGTTTAAGTACACAAATACAACGATTTATCATCACAATAAACAATTTTTGTTTGATTTTTTTTATTAGTGAATGTTAAATAAAAGTGTAATTAAAAAAATAAAAATAATATATAAAATTAATTAAAATTAATTAATTTATTATAAATGTATATGATTATTAGGCTTCGAACCCGAGAATTTTATTACTAAAAATTAGTATCAAAAAAGCTAATAAAACAGGGAAAGAAAAACTGCCCCGTTTTATTACCTTTTTCGATACTAATTTTTGATTATATAATTCTGGTGCGAAGCCCAATGATTATATTTATATCTAAAATATTAGATAAATTATATATTTTAATAAAAGATATAATTACATATTAATCGAAATGGATTATAAAAATACTTATTATTGAAAATATATATTAACAAACAAATAAGATTTTTACTAATCCATGCAGAAAGTAAAAAACGTTTTCAAGATGAGAACTTTTAATAATAACAAAGAATGTTAACAAAAGTAGAACAACGTTTCGACAATAATAGAATTGTTGGGAACCCAACACCTACAAACATCATGGAGCGTTTTAATTTAATGGAAATAGAATTAAATGATGTAACCAAAACAGTTAAAAAAGCCAGCATTATATCGCTAGGTGGTGTCACATATTCATTATTCAGTACATCTCACACTGATAAAAAGAAATTAACACAAAAATATCGATGTTGTTTCAACAAGTGTGGTTGCATTGTTAAAGTGATTTTATCAAAAGACAGAAGTTGTGTTGTAAAGGTTATTATTATAAACCACCACAACCACAACTTTGATAAATTGCCCGCTAAAGTATAGTACAATTATACTGAAGATGATATTAGAACCATACAAATTCTCTCTCATTCACATGCTTCTCCTGCTGAAATTTCGGCTGAACTTGGTCTTTCAGTGAATACACGGAGAATAAAAACAATTGGTAAAAAAGGATACGATTTGTGTTGTCGTAAAGAAACAACCGAACTATTCGAAATGTGTGAAAAACTCAAAGACTTTTCCACTCATTTCATCAAACTATTTAATGGAAAATTCGATTCGTGCTATTTCTTAAATAACATACACTCCAATAACGAAAGTAATGTTGTTTTTGTGGATGATACCGCAGTGACAAATCACTTTAATTATCCATTAGTTGTTGGTGTTGTAGCGGATTCACACGGAAAAACACAAATATTGTTTTTTGCACTTTAAAAAACAGGACCACAACATCATTCGAAGAAATGTTCCCTTATCTTAAACAAAAACATGTAAATATTGAAGCAATGTTTTGTGATAGATGTTTGGCTCAAAAAACGGCATTTTTGAATGTTTATAAAGGATCAAAAATATTTCACTGTTTAAGACACATACGTAGAGATTTAGAGATTTCTTTTGGACTGAATTCTGAAATTGTCAAAAATTTCAATAATTTGAAAACTGGGAAATTAACTGAAAAGTTGTTTATAGAAAAT